AAGAATGAGGAGTTCACATTTATAGTCAGATTGTGAGATTGGGGCAATTAGCTTTTGAAGAGCTAAGGAGATGTAAACAATTCCCATATGGTTCAGCTCTGTGTCTCCACCCAAATCTCACCTACAATTGTGATTCCCGTAAGCCCCACGTGTTAAGGGTGGGACCAGGTAGAGGTAAGTGGATTATGGGGGTGGTTTCTCCCATGCTGTTCTTGTGACAGTGAGTGAGTCTCACATGATCCGATGGTTTTACAAGCATCTGGCATTCCCCCTGCTTTCACTCACTCTGGTCCGCTGCCCTGTGAAGGTGTCTGCTTCTCCTTTGCCTTCTGCCAAGATTGTAAATTCCCTGAGCCCTCCCCAGCCATGTGGAACTATGAGTCAATTAAACCTCTTCCCTTTATAAATACCCAGTCCCAGGTATTTCTTCCGAGTAGTGTGAGAATGGACTAATACAACTTCCAAAACCACATGTCCTCTTCAGCGGCTCCTGTATGTACCATTTGCTATGGAACCCCAGTCATAGGCCACCATCTTCTCTTGAAAGGTCTGTTTTGTCTTCTACAAATGTCTTTGGAGAAGGGATCTTGTTTCTTGATTTTACAAGTACCTAAGGATAGTAAAAGGGACTGAGAACAAGTAAAGAACGTGAGAAGGAAACACGGGGTAAAATCTGGATGATCCAACATGTCTACCTATTTTCCACATTTTTAGTAAACGCACACCGTGCAGGGAAGATGGAATAATTGTGGGTGGGGGGTGTTGAAATAGAATACTCCAATCAGAGTGAAATTAAGAAATCACTCTCATTTTCCTGTTTCTCACCTCTTTTCTCCCAAACATGAGACATTGTGAGGCAAACGTTATTGTAATAGTCAGTGTTCTCTAAAGGAACAGAATTACTATGATAGACATGTATCTGAAATGGAGTTTATTAAGGAGTATTGACTCACGCAGTCACCAGGTGAAGTCCCACATAGGCTGTCTGCAAGCTGAGGAGCAAGGAAGCCAGTCCAAGTCCCCAAAGCTCAAAAGCAGGGAAGCCAGCAGTGCAGCCTTCAGTCTGTGGTTGAAGGCCCGAGAACTCCTGGCAAACCACTGGTGCAAGCCCGAGAGTCCAAAACCCAAAGCATCTGTAGTCCAATGTTTGAGGGCAGGAAGCATCCAGCACAAGAGAGAAATGAAGGCTGGAAGACTCAGGCCATTCTAATCCTTCCCTGTTCCTCTGTCTGCTTTCATCCTAGCCACATTGGCTGCTCACTAAATGGTGCCTACCCAGATTGAGGGTGGGCCTGCCTCTCCCAGTCCACTGACTCAAATACTAACATTCGGTCACATCCTCACAGATACATCCAGGAACAATACTTTGCATCCTTCAATCCAATCAAGTTGACACTCAATATTAATCACCACAGGAATACATGGTGGGGATTACAGGATAGGGTGATGGGGTTGTGTGTTTCCTGAGTCAACACCTCAAAGCTCAATGGGCTGCTTATAGGATATATTTTTTTTTAATTGAAAAGGTGACTTGTTAGATACCTCCAAACTGATTCAGTATCTTTGGCAGTAAGGCCTTGGAATCTGCATTTTTCAAAAGTACTGTCGTGATTTGTATGCACAAACATCCTGGGAACTCCAGTTTGCCCTTCCCTCTTTCTCCCATAGAGCACTTGAGTGGTTTCCGTTTGTCCTAGGTTTAGATTTTCCAGTGGAGAGGATGTCATTGGTGTAGTCCTCATTGTGGCCTTGAACATAGTTTTTGTTATGTGCAGTTTTCAAGGTTGACCCCACTACAGGCCCTTTTATTTATGGTTTTTCAGATCTTAGGTCATAAGATGTCCAATCTGTTTTACTAGGCTGGTGGGAGCCACATAGAACTTTCCGTGCTGCATACCACATCTTTCTTGATGAAAGTGTACAGGTAGAAATAACCTGGAATGGAGCTGCAGACATAGTCGACTCCTGTGCTGTCCAACATGAAAACCAGCAGCCCCAAGTGCACTTGAAATGTGGCTGGTTCACGTTGGCATCAGCAGGAATCGTAAAATGCAGGCTGGATTTCAGGCAGTGCCAAAAAAAAAGAGCGTAAAATATCTCATTAATAATTTTTGTATTAAAATAATACTGTGAATATATTGGGTTCAATAAAATATATTACTGAGATTAATTTTAACTTTTTCTTTTTTTTAGTGGGGCTACTGGAAAACTTAAAATTACACACATTTCACATTGTACGTCCATTGTGAGTGCTGGGTTAGTTTCTCCTACAGATACAGAATATTTAAAACCATAATACTAAGTGATAAAAATGGGATCTAAATTCGTATATTTTGTAAAACTTCAATTTATCTCTCTCTCTCTTTCACACACACACACACACACACACACACACACACATACCAGATACAGTATTAAAAATTACACACATACAGTATTAAAAATTAGCGTCCAAAATTAATACCCTTCAAAAAGTTCTTTAAGCCTTCCATTTAACCAGGACCATGTGTTAAGTTTAGGATGCAGTGGCTTCCATGCTGTAATCAAGGACATCTCATTTGTATGCCTCAGGGAAATGACACAGGACTTGCATGACACTCATGGCTATGAATTACAGAACAGAGACTATTAACTCCAAAGGTGCTAAAAGCCTACTTTGAATTTAAGTCAACACTGGAGAATAAGCTATTTATTTGCTTTATAAAACTATCAAGCATTCTAATTCAAACCTCATGTGTAAAATATGGCCTGGTACCACACAGCCTTCATATACTCCAGAAGAAGATACAGAGGGTCTGAGAAACTGGGCTGTTTATGTAAACCAAATTCCCCAGCCCAACACAGAAGTCAGAAGGAGAGATTCAGTTTTAAGTAAATACAAGCATTGAAACAGTAGCTGTGCTACTGCCCCAAGCCCCAGGCATTGGTGAGATTCCGAATATTCCTTCCTTCTCTGCCCCTTGGTTGTGTTTGTTCCCTTTGAAGAATAATTAAGATTTAATGGCGTATTCTCACAGTTTTTTGTCTGCCTGCTTTCTGACTGCCTACTGTGCAGAATGCTCGCGTTTGATCCCGGTCATTGCAAGAACTGTACAGTAATTGCCTATCTGGTGACTCATTAATGGAGGTCCCCAGAGAGCCAGAACGCTGCTCGTTTGAAGTTCATCTTGTTTACTGTTGGCCCTTCTGGTTTAATCTATATCATCAGAGAGTCTTGCTCAATTATTGCTGCTCAATCTCTTCTCATTGGGACACAGGCACTGGGTAAACACATTGTTTTTTCTTTTGCTGCTTCTTCTCTTTCATTTGTTTTTCTTTTTAAAAATACGTCTTCTTGTCTTACTCACGTGGGTCCACCTCGGTAAAGCATGTTGTTATCTTGTGCCAGGGAATCTGTTGACCACCTGTGAAGCAGTTCTTCAGACCTTCCCCAAAAGACAGCAGTTTGGAGGGCAACCAATCAGATGGAATGGTTCTCCCCTCCATTTCTGGACAAAATGACTTCTGCCCATCCTCTAGGATCTGAATGAGAGGGTACTTTCTCCAGGAGACCTACTAGACACTGCAGACCCAGCTCTGGCTGGTTTACTTGCCTGTTCCCTCAGTGTTTTTATTATTATAACGCTTCTCACTATTAACTTTGGTCATTTGTGAAATTTTTGTGCCTCTAAACATGGGAGCCCTAAACAACTCAATGTTACATCTTTATTTCTCAAGCCGCCGTGTTAAGAAGCCTTCCAAGAGCATGGTTAAGATGTGTTTGCAGAATTAAGTGGACGCTCTCTAGGTCATGCTAAAGTTGCTCTGTCCTTTCTAAGAAAGGAAAAATTCCTCACTAGCTACCAGAGTTCCATGCCATTCCTTCCTTAACTCTTATTGTCGGGAAATACAGATTAGAAGAAATTTCTAAAATAGGAATTTGGATGTCATTGTGATAGCGGACCCTGTTGCTGTTAGGATTAGCACAGACCGAAGTTAGGGGTCAGGAGCTACCTAAGGGCTTAGAGGCTTAGAAGTTCCTGACAATTCAGGAACTTAGAAGTTAAGAGTCAGGAGCTACGTAAGGACTTCAGAGGCATCCTGAACGGGACGCTTCTGAAGGCTTTCAGCAGCTTAGATGGGGATAGCAACTCCAGTTGACCCAACAGCACTTTTTTTTTTTTTTTTTTGAGACGGAGTTTCGCTCATTACCCAGGCTGGAGTGCAATGGCACGATCTTGGCTCACCGCAACCTCCGCCTCCTGGGTTCAAGCAATTCTCCTGCCTCACCCTCCCGAGTAGCTGGGACTACAGGTGTGTGCCACCATGCCCAGTTAATTTTTTTTGTATTTTTAGTAGAGACGGGGTTTCACCATGTTGACCAGGACGGTCTCGATCTCTTGACCTCGTGATCCTCCTGCCTTGGCCTCCCAAAGTGCTGGGATTATAGGCATGAGCCACCGCGCCTGGCCAGCACTTTTTAAAATTAGACCAAAGCAGAGCATCTCAGAATTGTTCCTGTGATTAATATCTGAGCATTGGGAGTGAGAAACACGCTTCCACATGGAGATAACATGATTAAAGATGAATAGACACAAGAGATGAACAAAAAGACACACTGTTGTTAATAAGGTTGAAGATCCTGAATCCAACTTAAACTCTAGAGTTAACCATTATATGAAAAAGTATTTTTTCTTTAGTTGATTTTATCTATTTCCAAAATAATTATAATGTGTGGAATTACGTATAACATGAATAGCACCGCAGTCCTGATGTAAACATGTTTTGTACATTTGGATAACCTTGAATTGGAAAACTTGTACCAGCAATATATTTCAAGTTCAACTGAAAATAATTATTTCAATCATACTTCCATTCGGTCATCAGTAGGAAGTTCCTTTCCTAAGTCAGGCAGTGTGGTAAAAGCATTTTTCAAGTAGTCATTGATTTAACCTCATAACAATGTCACATGACTTAATGACTTTTGTTACTATTTTTAGTCTTTATTTAAGGAGAGAGAAACCAAGGTTAAGAGAGGCAAAACAGTATTTGTCAATGTTGCGAATGAAATTCACATGTAGGTTTCTCTGTCTGCAAAACTCTTCAAGATTATGAGACATTTGTAACAATAATAATAAAATTACCTGTATTTTATTGTTTACTATGTAGAATAAGTAAGTAACCATGCTTAAAGTTAAGGTTTATAAGATAATTAATATAAAATATCACATTATACTTTTTTTTTAGATTATTTCATTATCCTCATAATCTTTTCAGGTGTGTGGGAATTAATTTTGCCATTTTACCGATAGGGCCAGAGACTGATTCCCCACCTGTAAATTTAAATGTTTGTCCGAGGTCCCATAGCAGATGAGTGGCAAAATTCATGTGTGAACTCACTTCTCACTCTAGTTCATCCAAGGTGAAACTTTATCCTTAGGTAAACTCATTTTCAATACTTGAGCAACTTCTCTCAGGAATACTCACATCACCAAGAACCCCAGGTCCAATTTAGAAAACCTTATTAGTCTAATAAGACTTCAGTTCCATCAGCATAATTGGCAGGCACCTCAAACGCAGACAGTCTAATTATTCTATACTGGATTCCTCATTACTGGGCTTGGAGGGGAGGCAAACTGCAGAGAGAGAAGGAAATACTTGTCAGAAAGTGCAGTTGTAGCCTGAGACCTCCCTGCAAGGCCAAACCGTGTTGCCTAAGACCTTGGGGGTATTGGAAATCTGGAAGAGGACATTGCACCGTTAGCCTTCTACGTTTGTGTTGTTCGGGGGCAAAACAGCCAAAAGTTAATATCCAAATTGCATTACAAGAGTTAAGACTTTGAGAGAACCTCCACAGCAAGGAAAACCTCAGAACTCAGTTGCATGCTTAGCCTTAAATTACTTTGTTTCTTCTAGAAATGTAGAGTGTAAAATTAGCTTTTCTTTAGAACTAAAAACAACTATAACAAATGTACAGTTGACACCCTATGGTTTTTAGACATCAAATAGTCTTCTTTTGGGGAGGTAAAATATTACCCTTGCTTTCTTTTCTTCTCTCTCTTTCTTTCTTTCTTTTTTTTTTTTTTTTTTTTTTTCTCTTTTTTTTTTTTTTTTTTTTTTTTTTTTTTTTTTTTGTGCAATCTCCACTCACTGCAACCTCTGCCTCCCCATTTGAAGTGATTCTCCTGCCTCAGCCTCCTAAGTAGCTGGGACTACACGCATGAGCCACCATGCCCGTCTGATTTTTGTATTTTTAGTAGAGGCAGGGTTTCACCATTTTGTCTAGGCTGGTCTCGCAACTCCTGACCTCAGGTAACCCACCTGCCTCGGCCTCCCAAAGTGCTGGGATTACAGGCGTGAGCCACCGCGCCTGGCTTCTAGCTTTCTTTTCTACCATCAAAACTAAGACGGCATTTTCAATGGCTTCCGTAGAATAAAATCCTAGAAATAAAAAGGATAACTCCCAGGCTCTGTGCATCTTTAAAGCATTGGACACATGTTGCTAAATTATCTACCATAATCGTTCAGTATTATTAGTTGGGTAGAAAATTAAAAAAAAAAAAAAAAAAAAAACCCTAGGTTTAAATTCTGCCTGTTACATTTACTTGCTGTTTGACCCTGAACAAGTCATTGAAAGACAAAACTTTTGCAGAATGCTGATTAAAAAATAATAGTGGTAACAATACTAATATTGCCTAAGATGGCCATGGTGAAGGGTGAATAAACGATGCTAAGGGGTGGGTAAATATTGCTGTCGGTGTACATGTAACAAGTTCCAGTAACACATTGTAGTATGTGCTCTAACACTGAAACCCTCAGGGTGCTTGAGAGCCAGTGGGAGGACCAGATAAACAAGACTTGAATATCAAGGTAGGCTTCCTGAAGGAGGTGACATCGTAACAGAATGGGTTCCAATTTACTTTTGCCGCTTGCCACATTTCATGGAATCCTAAGACTCAAATCATGGTTTTGCAGCCCACATTCTGTGTCAGTCAGACTCCTGCCTCCTCAGAAGAACTGTTCAAACAGTGCCCTAGCTCTAAGAAGATACCGGCTATCAGAAAACAATAAATTTTATTGTTTCACGTTACACCAATAAACACCAAGTCAAACCTTTTTATGTGTTTTCTGTTTTGACCTTTACCACATCAAGCTATCCCCATTTTACAAGCTGTTGTAATTTTTAAAATTAATTTATTTTTAATTGACAAATAGTAATTGTATATATTTATGGGATACAATATGATGTTTTGATCTGTGTGTACATTGCAGAAAGATTCAGTCAAGCTAAATAACATACCTGTCACCTCACTGCCTTATCATTTTTTGGTGGTGTGGATTTTAAAAATCTATTCTTTTAGCAACTTTGAATTGTACAGTACATCATTATTAACAATGATTGCTGTGCAGTATAATCGTTTTCCAGTTTTCTTTTTTTTTTTTTTTTTTGAGTTGGAGTCTCACTCTGTCACCAGGCTAGAGTGCAGTGGCACAATCTTGGCTCACTGCAACCTCCACCTCCGGGGTTCAAGAGATTCCCCTGCCTCAGTCCCCCGACTAGCTAGGACTACAGGCATGTGGCACGATACCCAGCTAATTTTTGTGTTTTTAGTAGAGACTGGTTTCACCATGTTGGCCAGGATGGTCTCGCTCTCTTGATCTTGTGATCCACCCGACTCGGCCTCCCAAAGTGAGTCTAGTCGTTTTCTAAAACTTCCTGCCTGGCTAATTGAAACTCTGTGCCCCTTGAGAAATGTCTTCCTTTTCCCAGTCCCTCCTCCTCTCCACCTAGCCTCTGATATCCATCTTTCTCCTCTCTGTGTCTGTGGAATCTACTTTCTTAGATTCCACATATAAATCATTTCATAATTTAAAAACAAAACCTTTAAACGAGAAGATGTCACCACAGCATGAACAGAAGCCCAATTCAGGAGTTAAAGCCACTTAATTGTGTGTACATGTCCAAGAGGGCTATTATGTCCCTGTTTTCTGTAAATAAAGCTTCTAAAGGAATTTTCTCTAAAAGCGCCATTATGAACTCAACTCAACTTTACAAACACATGCACCCTGGGGATTCTACGAAGACCACATTATTCCACTTCATTTCTACTCACAACTCGTTATATCAACGAGCCAGTAGGTGTAATTGTTCCACATATGAACATTTTCAAGGAAATCAATATTGGCTGATGGACTAATCTCTCAATTTGTCTTACTTCATTCTTAAAAAAAAAAAAAGGAGAATGAAATCTACTCATTTTTGGACATGCACATGTTCCAGAATATCCATGATAGACTAGACACACGGCTTCAATGCTCTTTCATGTCGTTCGCTGGTGATCCTCTAACAATTGTAATAATATATATCTGACCTGTACAATATTTCCAAAATTAACAAGAAGCAGTTTGAGATTATTGGGAAAGAGTTGTGTTTCAAGTCGGGAAAGTTGGATTCTAATTACAGTCTTGACACTGGAATCCAAAGTAAGTCATATGCCCTCTCTCAGTTGTTTCTTTTTGTTTTAAAAAAAAGTGTATTAAGGGGTTCAATTGTCTATAACAAAAAAGAAGGAAGGAAAATAAAGGAGGGAGGGATGGAGGGAGGGAGGGAAGGAAGGAAGGAAGGATGGATGGAAGGATGGATGGATGGATGGATGGATGGATGGATGGATGGATAAATGGATCAGTTTATTTCTGTCTCATCTAAAAATAGCCCAGTGTAGGTAAGTCAAGACTGGTGCTGCAGCTCTATGGTTTCAGAGACCCAGACTTTTTAACCTTATCACTCCACTGTCCTTAGCATGTTGACTTTATGGTACCAGAGAGCTGACGTAGCTCCTGCCATCACAACCAGGTTTCAGCCAACAAGAAGGACAGAGAATATACTCTTCTTTTTTAAGGAGCCTCTCCAGAAGACTCTTGTGACACTTCTACCTATAGCCCTTTGGCTAGCGTTTAGTTACACATCACATCTAGCTTTGAGAGAGTTTAAAGAAGAGTAAACTTCTGGCTTGGAAGTCATGTGTCTAGCTGCAAACCTGAATTCTGTGACTAAGAAAGAGGAACGAAGGGAAGAATGAATATCAGGTGGCAGCCAGCATTCTGCTTCAAAGCATTAGACCATGCATGGCCCAGAGGCTGAAACAGAGGAAAATTCCAAGATACCTGAGATTAATGTACAATCTTTTAGTATCTTCATTTCACCAAAGAATGACAAGCAGGACAGTTAATGCAACTCCTTTTGTCTATTTCAGCATATATATTTTTTACCCAGACTGACACAGGTCACAAGAATGACTCTGCAGAGCTTTGAAAACGTTTCCTAATTCTGTGCCTCACCTAACTACAGAGACGCCCAAATTCTATGAAAAGGGAGCCAGATAGGAACAGTATCAGGAGAAAGAAAATACAACGGTTTGCCTCAGAAATGTTTCTCTTTTTCCCTCTGATGTCTCCTACTTTATTTTAGGAAAGTTTATAGCATCTTATGACCAATTATTTTATGCATACAAACCTAAGAAATGGAGGATATTCTAGCCTCCTTGGAGCATGAATCTGCAAGGTCCAATTGACTGCCTGTGTAGCATACAACTCATGCATGAACCGAAAGCACATGTGAGAAGGAATTTAAAAGCCTCACTTGAAGGTTCAGTGGAAGAGAAAAGAAAATGTTGGTCGGGCACGGTGGCTCATGCTGGCAGTTCCAAAACTTTGGGAGGCTGAGATGGGAGGATTACTTGAGCCCAGGAGGCTGAGGCTGCAGCGGGCTATGATTGCATCACTGAACTCCAACCTGTACAACGGGGCAGACCCTGTCTCAAAAAAAGTAACAATTTGAAAAAAAAAATTTTAAATAGAAAATAGTGACCCTCTTCACCCATATTTCTTAAGCAGGAAACTCTTGCTATGCCCCCAATTATGTTTGCCATCACCCTAATAGGGTTTATAGAGCTGCATAGATCAGAAAGTGGGATCAGGGAAGTTAAATAATGACCAGAATGAAAACCTGCACCATGTAGCCCAAAAGCAGTGCCAGCAAATTCTTTGAACTCAGATCCTGTCAATCTCGTGTGGTATTGTATCCCCAGTACCTAGCTGAGTGTCCAGCATCTGTGATCAATAAGTGTTCTTTGATTGAATGAATGAGCAACTGAATGAATAACTCCAAAGTTCATGTTCTTTGCCTGGATCCGTCTCCTACCATGTTTAGTGCTGTGCTCTCCCTGCTAGAAATATTTGGCAAATCGGAAGGTGATAAAACCTACAATGGAACAGATTCCCACAGCGCTGCAGAATTGGAGACCGCATCTTATCGCTGCATAATAGCCCTGGTTCTATTTCCCACATCACAGAGAATGCAGCCTATAAGAGATTGAGTCACTCCACACAAAGACTTCACAGGAGGAAGAAAAAAAGTTGTTTTGATTCACTTTTTTTTTTGTCATTTCAAACACAACAATGCACATTTTCATCAGAAGCTAAATGATAGTGCTTACAGTATTTAATATTTGAATTCAATTATGTTTCTAAAGCCTTATTACCATAGTAAAAGAAAAAGTAGTTCAGAGAATTTCCAAAAGCATCAGGGTACAGTTGTTGGGGGAAAAGTACACACTGTTAAGGAAGCTATGTACTC